AACATGTTGAACATAACATTTCCCTATAAAGTGATTTCCGTATCATATATTATTAAGTTGATACATAGCTGCCGAGTTCTGCTCAATTTTCTGGACTTCTTCCTCCTTCAGTGCATCTGTAAGCAAAATGCACACACACATATCCTTATGCTGTGTAAAAGTTGATGTGGATAAGGTCAGCTATCCAACTAGAAAGTGCCCTCCCCAGTCATTGTGATAACTCCATTATATCAGCTTTAGAGGTGGAGAGATTCTTCTGTTTGAAAAGAAACGTTAATAATTTTCTGATGAGCATATTTTTAAAAATACCAACACATTTATATTTAATGCAGCTTAAAGAGGATTTCATGCTTATTCTCCCAGTGAAAGCTTCTGTTCTGCCGGATTTGTACCAGAGATAGTAATAGGCTTAAATTGTATTGTATTTTAAAAATTCATCAAAGTGTTTTCACATCTGCTCTTTCATTTGATTCTTTCTTCAACCCTGTAAATATGGGTTAAGTGTATATTAATCCTTCTTTGACAAAGGTGGAAATTGAGGATCTGAGATGTTAGGCAATTTGTCAGAAGATACAGTCTAATGGGTACCAGACCTAGAAATCATGTACTGCGACTCCCTTTTCTAGCTGTTGTGTCATAAAACCCACTTTTGAACATGAACACATTTGTATACTCTGGAACATAGGTGCAAAGTAAAATCAATAAAGGAACTATTACAAGTGCTGGAACCACAATCCTAGAGATCCCAACAGACAAGGTCTTGGAATATGTATTTTTTAAGATTATGTTTTAGTTAGACACAATACCTTTATTTATTTTTATGTGGTGCTGAGGATCAAACCCAGCACCTGGGACATGCTAGGCAAGTGCTGTACCGCTGAGCCACAAYCCCAGCCCCAGTTATGTATTTTTAATATGACTTATATGTGGCTTTGAGCCTGGTTAATAAACTGTCCTGGATTTTGTTCTTTCATCCAATACTGTTCCCTATGAATTTTTMTTTCATGTACTTTGGTTGTCTTCTTAATAGGTTGTTAGTCTTTTTCAAATTTATTAGTCTCTTCTTTATTGTGTAGTTATACTAAAGTAGTGAAATTTATTACTCTTTTTCTTAAGTTTCATGGAAAGATCTTTCTCTAGATCATTTTTTAAAAATCTACAGTTAAAAAACAGGAAACAAAAAACCCTTCATTCTTTATAACAAAATAAAATTCATAAGTAGAGGAAATACCTAAGTGTATAATCAACATGAGAGATTCTCAATATAAGTCATAGGTAACAAAAAACATAATTCCTTTTTAATCCTAAAATTTGTAAAAKTCAAAAAGTTTGCTTATAACAGCATTACTGAGAATGAGAAAAATTTGTCATTCATATGGTACTATTGATACAAAGACTTTTCAGTGAGATTGGTACCACTTCACAAAAGTAAAATTGTATATTCTCTTTGAACTAACAACTCTAGTTTTCAGGTATATATAAATCCATGCATTATGAATGTTGAAGAATATACATTATATACATTATATCTACTGTTCATAATAGATATAAAAGGAGGCCATCTAAATATCTGTTCATCATAAGGATGTGATTACATCAAATATGATACATGCATAAAAGGAATAATGATGTCTCTGAGGAAAAGAGTGAATAATATTTTATACATGCTTGTATGAAAAGATTTATAAGATATTGGAGTTATTAAATTTTAATTCAGGGTAAAATGAAAATTGTACATATTATGTTATTGTTTGAATCTAAAAAGATATAGGTTTGAGTTGTATCACACTAGTACAGTATTTAACTAGCATGAATGTGACCTCTAGCACTGAAAAAAAAATTCATGTGTGTGTACACACACACACATATATACATACACATGTACATATATATATATATATATATATATATGTCATGAATATGTTTGTATATACATAGACATTTCTCTAAGAAAAAAGAAACTAGTAACTGTGATGTATTTGAATGAAAAAAGTGGGATTTTGAAATGGGAAAAAACTAAATTAATAGTATATGTTTTTCTACCATTTGAATATTTTGTCTCAGATTTTTAAAATTATTAAAAAATAAATAAACCATTAAACAAAAACATATTAATGCAYAAAATGATATGGAAAGTAGAGTGAACTTTATGTTGTAAAATAGAACTCATCCAGTATTTTGCATTTTTGCATTGTTTTTATCATAATAGATAAAAATATATTTRCATTTTCCTAAAAACTAAACATGTTCCCATTATTATTTCATTTGACAATGTCATCATAGGTTTGGGAAGGAAGCATCAGTTAGCATTTTCAGTCTGTACTTTCCTACTCAATCTTTATCAAGTATGGGTTTCAGATAGAGGCATGGAGTTTCAAAATCAGAAAAGGTGAGAACTATGAGGGAYCTCAGACATTTCATATTCAAACTTCATTTTGTGGATGATGAAACTGAGGTCCTGTATGTTTTTTTTTTTCTTCTATGTTTGGACATTTCAATAATGGTGAAATTTAAGACTGAGTTAAAGTGAAAGTTACTGCAAAGTAATTTGATACACTGAGAGTGAGCGAATATAAATTATTTTAACCARCTCTGGCTTTAGTTGGCTCACTGTCCTTGATCGTCTCTTCTCTAGATCCAGTCCTTGCAACTTTGAARTGATTGAACCCAATGATACTGTTTAGAACTATTCCATATCTATTGAACATGATTTAAAAGACGATTTCTGCACTTATATTCAAGTGCCCCAATTTCCCAAAGTTCCTGAATCTATTTAAGTGTTCTCATTTTTCAAATCATGTTAAGTCAAATTAACATGTGTTTAGACAATTACTATGAATTAGGGCATTTAATAATTCTTATAAATACTTTGTTACATGAAGAATCCTATCTTCTAAGTCTTCAAATATGACTGAAGTTCACCTAAAGTTTCCATCCTTTGATTTCTTTTTTGTTTTTTATAGCTAWTTTTTTATTATGTAATTTTTTATTTATATATGACAGCAGAATGCATTACARTTCTTATTACATCTATAGAGCACAATTTTTCATATCTCTGGTTGTATACATAGTATATTCACACCAATTTGTTTCTTTATACATGTACTTTGGAYAATAATGATCATCACATTCCACTATCATTAATTATCCCATGGCCCTTCCCTTCCCCTTCTATCCTTCTATCCTATCTAGAGTTCATCTATTCCTCCCATGCTCCTGCTCCCTATCCTACTATCAATCAGCCTCCTTATATCAAAGAAAACATTMGGCATTTGGGTTTTGGGGATTGGCTAACTTCACTTAGCATTATCTTCTCTAACTCCATTCATTTACCTGCAAATGCCATGATTTTATTCTCTTTTATTGCTGAGTAATATTCCATTATGTATGTATGCCATATTTTTTAATCCATTCATCTATTGAAGGGCATCCAGGTTGGTTCCACAGTTTAGCTATTGTGAATCAAGAACCAATAAATGGGATGCACTTAAACTAAAAAGCTTTTTCTCAGCAAAAGAAACAATCTGTGAGGTAAATAGAGAGCCCACATCTTGGGAGCAAATCTTTACCTCTCACACATCAAGTAGAGCACTAATCACTAGGGTATATAAAGAACTCAAAAAGCTAAACACCAAAAAAAAAAAAAAAAAAAAAAGAAAGAAACAAATAACCCAATCAATAAATGGGCCAAGGACCGAAGAGACACTTCTCAGAAGATGATATACAATCAATCAACAAATACATGAAAAAATATTCATCATCACTAGCAATTAGAGAAATGCAAATCAAAACCACTCTAAGATTTCATCTCACTCCAGTCAGAATGGCAGCTATTATGCATACAAACAACAATAAGTTTTGGTGAGRATGTGGGGAAAAAGATACACTCTTACACTGCTAGAGTGACTACAAATTGGTGCGCCAATACGGAAAGCAGTATGGAGATTTCTTGGAAAATTGGGAATGGAACCACCATTTGACCCAGCTGTCTCTCCTTGGTTTATAACCCAAAGAACTTACGGGGACACAGCCACGTGATAGCAGCACAATTCACAATAGCTAAACTGTGGAACCATCCGTTGATTTCTTAGAGCACTAATTGTTCATGTCACAACATTTTCTTGTGTTCTTCTATTGTTTCATGTTTTATTCCACAGCCTGAGCTGGAGTTTTATATTTCCCATTGAATTTATATAACTATCCCTTGTAGTTTTAACAGAGGATTCAAACACATATTTCAGACTTAAAGAAATATTTCAGATTGCAATTTAAAACATTGCCCTTCCAGATGCAGAGAAGTAGTAATACAGATATATGCAACATGAATGGCTTAGGGACAGTTGAGGCATTGGTACCATCTGGAAAGTAATGCTGATGAAAGAGTTAACAGAATATAGAAACTAAATTGTCCCTCGGTTATCCATGAGACAAATCTAAGAACATCCAAATATAGAACTAGGTCTGGGAAAAAGTTTCACAAGGATAATCATGGTCTTACTCTAGTTTTTCCTCATATTTTTGAGGAGAAAAGCAGTTTGCTTCCCAGGTTATGTGGAAGACCTATGGMAGATTAGCAATACAAACTAGCTTTTAATGCAAACTGAAGCCAATTTCTTTAGATCCTAGTTTTTTCTTTAATAGTTCCTAAGAGGAAAAAAATGGTTAAGGGTGGRATTTAGAAAATGCTTAAATATGCAATGTAAACAATGTCAAGTTTAGGTTCAAATCATTTTAATGAATGGGAAAATCTAATTTAGATTTTTCTTAAAGTGAGGTCATTAAAAGTATTAAAAATATATCCTCTCTATGTAGTTCCTATGAGACAATGAGTGAAATTCACCATTTACCATATGCTTCTGAGATCTCTTAAAACAACCCTTCTCTGGTTAAATATCAACACTTTCAATAGTTTAAAATACTCAAATTCCATAATAATACATCTATACTTCATATTGRTTCTCTCACAATTCATAAAGAATCTTTTTCTTTCCCTGCAGGCAGAATTTACAGCCATGCGGGAGCAGTACATGCGAGGCGGAGAGGGCTTCATCATCTGTTACTCTGTTACTGACCGCCAATCATTCCAGGAGGCTGCCAAGTTTAAAGAGCTCATTTTTCAGGTCCGCCACACCTATGAAATTCCCCTGGTGCTGGTGGGTAACAAAATTGACCTGGAACAGTTCCGCCAGGTTAGTGCCAATTTTATCTGTTAGCTTCTGTCTTTTTTTCTCAGAAGATACATAGTATTCAGTGTGGCTGCTTTCCAAGGTTGACACTGAGAATTGAAAGAAATGATGCACATGATTTTTCTAGGAAGTCTAAGTGGTCCTGCGGTTGACTGTGTTGGCTACTGCAATATAATCCATCTTACATGCTATTTTACAGCAGGTCCTTATCACTCCCCTATACCTTTGGATTGGGGCTGGTTCTATTATTTGCTTTGAGCCATAGTGTGTATACTTGGAAAGTTGAAATTTAAGCTTCTTCAGGTTCTGCCTTTCTCACTTGAGATATTCATCTTTGAGACACTGTAAAGTGGGCCCAACCTAACTYTGTAGAAAGAATCGTGTGGACAAAGTGAGATGAAGGCTCACAACTGTCCCTGCCAAGATACCACACATCTGGGCAAAACCATTTTGCATGTTCTAACACTAGTCACCTTATAAGTCACTCAAACCAATTCACATGAAAAAAAAAAAAAATCTCCCGCAGAGTTCTTGTCTCAATTTCTGAAATACAGAATYCATGGCAAAGAAAATCAAAATGTTTAAGCTATTATTTTTTGGAGTAAATTTTCATGCAGTGGTAGATAAACCAGGATCTCCCTTTCTCCCAGAATCAAAACAAGCCACTACTTCTCAGGTTGATTCAGAAATTATTTTCATCTATGATAAATTTCCTTTGAGCTATCCCTGATACTTCAGCCATCCTGATTCAGGGATCAAGGAAGTTATCTTACATTTTCATTGCTCTGACTTGTTTTATCTAAAGCAACATTACTGAAAACTTGCATTCAAATCAAGTTTTGGTAAATCTAATTGTCTAAATTGAATTGCTTCATCTCTATTTSCATTGACCTTAAATTTGAAATGATTTTATAGAGTTTATGTTATTCTAATTGATGATTAATTTTAATCCACTTAAAGTAGCCTGCTAGTAAGATCCTTTGCTAAGGCAGGAATTTTTACCAAAGCAAATTCAGTTTTCTCTTATKTTAAGAGTTTTTTGAATTTGAATTTTCACATTCAATGCATATTAAGTCTTCTAGAAGTGAAAATATCTCAAAGAAAGCCAAATTTTATGATTTTATGCTTAATATAGAAATGTTCTTATGATTTGGTACAATTCATTTTCATGGTGACATTTTTGTATCATTTACTTGAGAGTCTAAGTATCTCAACTAATTTGTTTTCAAAGCTGTAATATTAATTTGTATCCTGTGCACTGTTTTGTTTTCTTTCTTTGTTATTTTCCTTTCTCCAAAGCAATGTAGGGTAACGATATGCTTTTATTTCTGTGGGTAAGAATTCAAGCTCATCTCAACAGTTAAATATGAATCTATTCTCAGATATTTGCAGAAAACAAGAAATATAGGCCTAGTACCTGGACCTTTCAGATATTCTTCTAAAGCTTAGGGATGCCTCACTTTTCTTATGGCTTTCTAGGGCAAAGTACCAGACAAGCATCCTAACAAGTGCACCATCARTGATCCCAGGGCCATCTTTATTGCACTTCTAAGAATTTCTGGAGAATGAAAACCTCTCGTTCAGYGTCATTTGGGAAAGTCAGAAGCTAGTGAATTTGGGAACATTAGGGAAACTGTTTTCAGTTCAGGTTCTCACAGATCAATGGCTCTCTATGATTCCAAAAGCTAGTGACATTTGCTTTCCATGCACTTTCCAGGTCCTGCTTTCCTAGACTCAGAGGTGACCCTTAGGACTTCACAAAGAATGTACAACAGGAACTCAATCYCAGCTTGCATAATTAGCCACTCCTTTCTGATTAGCAGTGAAGTGAATCATAAGCATCACAAATGTCACTGAAACAAATATTTTAGAAAGGCATTAATTTTGCAGATTTGACATACTTTTCCTTTTTAGATAAAAGCCAGTAAACATGAATAGTCACTGAAAGTGCAAAAGCCACGAAAACAAAATTACAATCTTTGTTAAAATGCTCATGTACCCATGTCGCCAGTAAATGAAGTGTTGATGTGCAAATTTGGCTTCTGGCTGTGGTGCTTCTGATGGAAATAATTATTCCTAAAATCGCACAGTGGTTTTTCTTTGCAAATGATTTCAATTCACACTTTATTTTAATCTTATGACTGCCCTGTGTGGTTGTAAGGCAAGTATTTTAAGAATAAAGATATTTGAGAAGTGAATATGGATATAGAAATTGACTTTCCTAAGCTATTGGGGTTAGTTATAAAATTAAAGCTAAAACCCAGATCACACGTATTCTTTTTGTTACATGAGTATTTACAAGACTAAACCTGGTTCAATTGAAAAACAAAYAAACAAAAACAACAATGCTGACATTAAGACCTTCTAAAGCTCAAAGAAGTCCTTTGAGGCTTCCTAAAGTAATAGAATTAAACCATCAAAGTTGTTGAAGGAAACCTCCAGTTGCTTTTGTTTAATAGCGAGAGACAGAGAACAGGATTCTCACTTGGCACATCTTCTCTATAGGGAAAGAGATTAAAAGGAAAGAGTCCCATTGATTAAAGCACTTTCTTTTTATATTTGATAGGGTAGGTTTTTGTATCTTTCATGCATTTTGATGAAGCTTGTGGTATTTCAAGCAAAAAATAAAAATACAAAGCAAACAAGTAATAGAYTTTAATGCCTTTTTTATCATTATTYGTCTTAAGTTAAAATTTGAAAAGACTATTTAAGAGCTAATATTTTGTCAGGAAGTAGTATTCATTTTGATACTGATGATGCCTGTGATGTATCTGTAAAACTGCAACAGGCAATTTACACATATTATTTTATTTAATCTCCAACACAAGCCCATGTCATGGGTTCCTACATGGTGCCTATTCATGCATGAGAAAACTGAAGCTCTTGTACATTCAGGAACTTGCAGATCTCACAAAGAGAGCTGTGTCACCATGTTCACACAGCCAGCTAGAGTTCAGAAATGAAATGCAAGTGCCCTGTATTTTACCATGGAGCTTCCAACCATTATTTTATCATGAATTATAGTTTTTATACCAGCTTCAGAATCTGAGCATGTTCCTCAGAGATTGGAACATAAATAATAGCAAGTTGATGGCCAGTATAGCCAGAAAGATGAGAATAAGTTCCTGKGTGTGGAGAGGGCAGCTCCAGGCCCTGGACAAGACAGGGAATTTGTAAGGAATGGTGTGAGCAAAAATAGGAGAAARGCAATGAAAATGAGATTCAAGACTTCTAAAAGGGCCAGGAATGGTGGTGTACCCCTGTAATCCCAGCTACTTGGAAAGCTGAGGCAGGAGAGTCACAAGTTCAAGGCCCGTCTTGGCAATTTAATGAGATCCTGTCTCAAAATAYAAAATAAAAAAGGATTGAGGTTGTAGCTCAGTGGTAGAGTGTCCCTTGGTTCAATCCCCAGTACCARAAAATGAAATAAAATAAAATAAAATAAAATAAAAGAACACCTTTCTGATAGGCATTGCTTTGTAATCAGGTGAACAATTTTGTCCAGAGTCCATTTAGGGTATTCTAAAGAATTTTGAAAAATTCCCAGACAACATTAGGTTTCTAAGCTTCCATTATCTTTGTCCCTACTTATTGTGTCTTCAGACATTACATTAGAAAGCACAAGAGGATAATTCTTATTTTTGCAAAACCCTGACCACCTGTGCATACTACAAATGCTTTCKAAATGGAATGAATTTCAGCTATTTGAGAGCTAGATTAGAAAAGTTTACATCAGTAGCAGACCATAAACTGTCTTATCCTGAAGCCAGATCATGATAAAACCCTCAGCCCTGAGAGTCTAATTACAKGTTACTACACAGCTGGAGACCTGGAGACTCTAATTTCCATATCTGCTGACTAAGTGCTGAATTTGGATCATGAAAGACGCTTTATTTACTCTTTTGTGAGATAGCTAATGAAAATTATTATTTTTAACCAAGATGGGTATCTGTATTTATAAGGATTAGGAACTCCTGTATTAAGAAAAATAATACTTATGTAAAGTTGTATCAAGAGAATGACAACTTCAGAATAAAATAAAGGAATGAGTAACTCATTCCTTATTCTCAAGAACTTTCTCTTCAGGAGCTATGCACAATAAATATGCAGAAAACCCTATTAAGCAATAGAAGTAAGTGCCAAACAATATGATATCTGATACTGCCTATAAGTGCTATAGCTTTCAACAAGTTGTTCACAGATGCAAAAGATCCACGTGGACACATATATGAGAAAGACACAAGTGTCCTGACCACATAGAAGAGATCAGATAAATAGTGACTCACGGTTATTTTAAGAAAATAGGAAAGAATAAGTCTAGGGAGGAAGAAATAAATCTTGAGGCTTACAAGTATAAACAAACATGGTGAGTGGTTGGTGGGGGGTTGAGGAAATAATTCTGCTTAGTAAACAGTCAAGCATGCTCCCAACAATTTCTTTTCTTTTTTTTAAAAAAAAAATATTTGTTTTAATTAGTTACACATGACAGTACAATAACCTTGACATATCATACATTTGAATCAGATGGGGTATAATTTCTCATTATTCTGAGTGTACAGGTTGCAGAATCACATTGGTCATGCAGTCACATATATACATACACCAATAATAATGTCTATTTTATTCTGCTGTCCTTCCTTTCCTCCCTTCTCCTTCTCTCCCCTCCCATCACTTCTCTCTACCTAATCTAATGTGACACAACTTTTTTCTCGAATTGTCATACATGTATTTTGTATAACAATGAGGGTGTCCTTCCATCTTC